CTCCAGATCCTTCATCCATATGTCCAATGGACATTCCTCATCCCTCTCTGGGCAGGGACACTTGGCCAGCTCCAGGTGCTCCAGATCCCTCATCCACATCCAGTGGACACATCCATGTGGTGGGAAGGGCTCCTGTGGGGTGGCTGAGGAGGACTGGAGCAGGACAAGGCCCCCTTGGTGAGCCGAGGAGCTCCATGATCCCGTTTTTGCTCCCAGCAGCACGAGAAGAGCCCATCCCCAGCCGTGGCCCGCCCACGGGGCTGGGATTCTCCCAGCTCCATGGACAGGGGCGAGTTGGATGTGAGCAGCCCCGCTCTGAGGAGCCGCCCCGTGACCCGGAGCATGGGACAGGGGGACACCATGGAAGTGCCATCCAGTCCCGTGCGCAGGGCCAAGCGGGCACGGCTCTGCTCCTCCAGCAGCTCGGTGAGTGATCCACGCAGGGTGCTCCTGATCCAGGGGTTTGTGTTGTCCCTGGAGCCTGCTCAGGGCTGGGGTTTGGGCACAAAGAAGGTCTCTAAAGCATCCCGTTGTTGTGTCCCTTCTCTGTCACCTCCTTGCTTCCAGGACACTTCCTTGAGGAGCTTCTTTCACCCCAGCTCTCAGCACCGTGATTGGTGTCCCTGGGTCAGCACTGGGGAGGCAGAGGAATCCCTGGAGGATGCTGCATCCCAGACAGAGAAGGAGCCTGGGAAGGCCGAGCCAGGCTGGGAAGTGGTGCTGAAGAGGCTCCTTGGCATCCAAAAATGTGACACAGTGCCCGAAACAGAGCCAGTGGTGAGCATGGGGCGTCCCAGCTTGTCCAGGCAGCAAAAATTTGGGATGGGTGGGCTTTGTTTGGGATCAGTCCCAGCCAGGTGACAAGGACCAAGCTGCAGAGCGTGAGCCCTGGCATTCCCACAGCCAGGCTCCATCCAAGGCTGGGCTGGGCTGGAGCTGCTCGAGGGCTGCTATAAATAACAGTGCTGCCCAAGATCCGGTTTCATTCCGTGTCCCCAGAGCTCCTCTCTGCAGCCATCCCAACTCCTGTCTCCAGCCTCTTGGGGTGCCAGCTTTGCTGAGGCCACAGCTCCCACCCCATGTGGCTGTGGGGCAGCTGCTGCCTCCCTGGATCTCATTATCCACTTGGATTCCTCCTGCCAGCTCCTTCCTGCCTCGCTTGGAGCTCAGGGGAGCGATGGAGCATTCCCCCTTCAGCATTTGTCCTGGGCCTTTCCTGTGATTTGTGTCCCCAGCAGGTCCCTTCTAGTGGAAGGTGACCCTGCCCACAGCAGGGGGTTGGAACTGGGTCATCTTTAAGGTCCCTTCCAACCCAAACCATTCCATGAGTCCGTGACTCTGCCATGTGCCAGGAAAGCTCCAGATGGTCCAGCAGGACCAGTCACAAGTCAGAGGCACCAGACCCAGCTGGAGCAGGGGATGGTTGGAGCCCCTTCGTGCTTTTTGGAGCCCCTTCCTGCTTCTTGGTGTCCCTTCCTGCTTTTTGGGTTCCCTTCCTGCTTTTTGGGATCCTTTCCTGCTTTTTGGGGTCCCTTCCTGCTTTTTGGTGTCCCTTCCTGCTTTTTGGGGTCCCTTCCTGCTTTTTGGGGTCCCTTCCTGCTTTTTGGGGTCCCTTCCTGCTTTTTGGGATCCTTTCCTGCTTTTTGGTGTCCCTTCCTGCTTTTTGGGTTCCCTTCCTGCTTTGTGGGGTCCCTTCCTGCTTTTTGGGATCCTTTCCTGCTTTTTGGGTTCCCTTCCTGCTTTTTGGGATCCTTTCCTGCTTTTTGGGATCCTTTCCTTCTTTTTGGGGTCCCTTCCTGCTTTTTGGGTTCCTTTCCTGCTTTTTGGGATCCCTTCCTGCTTTTTGGCTTCCCTTCCTGCTTTTTGGGGTCTCTTCCTGCTTTTTGGGATCCTTTCCTGCTTTTTGGTGTCCCTTCCTGCCTTTTGGGGTCTTTTCCTGCTTTTTGGGGTCCTTTCTGGGGACCTTTCCTGCTTCTTGCTTGCAGTCTCCTTGTTCTCCCCTCCTGGCAAATTGGGATCACGAAAATCAAGCACAAACTGCAGTCCTGGCAGCCAGCTGGGATATTTTGGATGTTTTTTCCCTGCAGTTTCTCCTGCTGCCCTTTGCCGGCGGCAGCTGCCCTTCCTGCTCCGGCGCCTTGACCCGTCCCTGCTGCTTTGTTCCCATCTTTTCCCAGAGCCTCTCGGAGAAATCCTGCAAGGTGTTCCGCATTTTCCGGCAGTGGGAGAGCATGAATTCCTCCTGAGCACGTGGAGAGCAGCACGGGGCAGGGGGAGAGCCCCAGAGCTCCGTGCCGCGGGCAGGGCACCGGGGGGAGCTCCCTGCCCCTTCCCTGGCACCGGGGGGAGCTCCCTGCCCCTTCCCTGGCACCGGGGGAGCTCCCTGCCCCTTCCCTGGCACCGGGGGAGCTCCCTGCCCCTTCCCTGGCACCGGGGGGAGCTCCCTGCCCCTTCCCTGGCACCGGGGCAGCTCCCTGCCCCTTCCCTGGCTGCTGCCTTGCCGAAGCCTTCACAAACTGCTGCTGTGTCCCTCCCTGGGGGCTGCCACTGGAGCTGGGATGAGCTGTTGGGCCCGTGGGGTGACAAAGGGGACGCTGTCACCTCCCCGGCACAGCGCACGGAAGTGACGCCAGGTGGGAATAAACATTTCATTTTTGTTGTTTTTTTCTTTTTTCTTGCTTTTTCCTTCCTGCTGCCGTGGTGCTTTTGGGTAGGAGGAGCTCTGGACCTGGTGTGGCTCCCCATATCCCTCAGGATTCTTGTCCATATGGGATCCATGTCCTGATGCCTCCCTGTTTCCCACTCCACGTTTTGTTGCCTCCTTTGCCTGTTGTGAGCATTTTTCCATTGCCTCAATCCCTGTCCCGCTGCTGATGGCCAGTTTGGGGTGACAAATCCCCCTGGTTGGAGGGTGGCATTCCCAAAACCTGGGAAGAGGTGAGTTTCCATGGCTTGGGCTGCTGGGAAGGGAGTGGTGTCATCTCCATCCTCGAGGATATTGGGAAGGGCTGGGATTCCACAGACACCCTGGCACAGTTGGATCTCCTCCCTCCAGGTCTGTGGTGTGGGTGGAGGCACAGGGATTTGTCATTCCTTTATTTTTTTGGAGGAAAGGATCTCCTGCCTCCATTTCCCCAGCCCCAGCTCCGAGGTTTCGCCTGTCTCATGCCCTTGGATGGATTTTGGGATTCTGGCTGCCCTGTGCCTGGCAATGCAGTGGCTGCCTTGGTCAGGGCTGATCCTGGCTCTCCCTGAACCCCAAAACTTGGGGGTGCACCTGCCCACCTCGGGGCTTCTCCTGGGATCCACTCTTTTGGGATGCCAGGGGAAGCAGCAGGGCCTGAATTTGGGTGGATTCCCTTCTTTCCCTAATTACAGGGCTGCTGCACCCATGGCCCTGCTGCACTGGGAGTTGGGGTGGAAATGAGGATCCCCCCCAATCCAGAGGGATGAGGATGGGCTGGGAAGTGCCTGGGATGACCATGGAAGAGCCCCTTTTCCAGCTGCCTGGACTACAGATCCCCCATCCCCAGCAGCCCCCTTGCTTTCCCCATCTCCCTGGAACTCTGCTTTGCCCTTTCCAGTGGTTTCCAGCTGTTCCCTTTGGCTCCCTCTCTTCCCTACATTCCCTGTCCATGGATTCTCCTGGTTCCCCCCATCTCTGATCAGGGAACCACCCCACAAATCATGGGATGCACCCAGTGCAGGGAGGATGATATTCCCATTCCGTGTGGGAATGCCCAGCCACAGCCCCTCCATCCCGATTTCCAGACCCAGGATTGCTCAGAGGATCCCCAAAATTCCCTCAGCACCCACATTCCAAGGTTTGGGTGCTGTAAGAGTGGCCTTGAGGTATTCCAAAGATGAACGGGGTGCTGTTGTAGTTATCCTGATGTTCCAGGATATCAGGATATCCTGGAATAATTCCTGGTGTTTCAAAACTGGTGTTTCACAGATGGAATAGAAGCATTCCAAGGAACTGCTGTAAAATCCTTGTTTTTCCCTGTGCATTTCTCCCAGCTGCTTGGAACCAGTCAGGGAATATTGTGGCCAGGGAAATACAGGCTCCTCTAGCCCAAGTTTTCCACCAGAACCCTGTTCCCCTGCCAAATTCCCCCCTGGAATGTGGGGTGTGGATTTGGGTCCCCTCATGTGCTGTCACCTCCCGCCCCAGCCAAACTCTGGGCATGTTGGGGCATTAAACGGAGGAGCTTTTTTTGGGATTCTTTGGCTGTGTCTCCTCCCCACAGGGGGAGGAAGCAGCGGGGCAGATTGATGGGATGATGCCGGGGTCGGGAATGCGGGGTGGGGAGGTTCCACACTGGAATCCCATCAGCTTGGGAGACACCCATTAGTGCTGTCATCATCCGCCTGGGTAAACTGAGGCACCGGGAAATGCTTTGCCGGTGTCCCAGCGGAAATCCGGAGCGGTGACTCCTGCTCCGGGGCCTGGCCAGCTGCCACATTCCCGCCTGGATTGAGCGGGATTGCCGCGAGCAAACCCCATATTCTGTGGGGTGCTGCCCTGAGCCCGGTGGGGACAGGAAACAGGGGAATAAAGGGGTGTCAGAATGCATGGGGAACAAGGGAGATGCTGGGAATAGGGGGAGCCATGGGGAATTGTGGAAAAACTGTGGAAACGGGGGAGCCGTGGGGAATTGCAAGGCCCTGACATAGGTGCGCCCCGTATTTTATGAGGCGGCTCCCTGGCCGCGGTGGGAACGGGCAGAATGGAAATGGGGGAATGAGAGGAGTGTCAGGATCCGTGGGGAACGGGGAGGACGCAGGGAATACGGGGAGCCGTGGGGAATCGCGGGAAACGTTGGAAAGGGAGGAACTGGAGCTAGCGGGGCCTCGAACCCGCGGCCCAGCCATCTCTCCTCCGCCTCCCCCCCCTAGAACTACAACTCCCGGCGTGCCTCGGGGCCGGCGGAGCGTTGAGGGCGCGGCCAATGGTAGAGCCGCGGGGCGGTGACGTCACCGCGGGTGACGTCAGGGGTCCAGAGAGAGGCTGGGGCAGAGGCGGCCGGAGCGGCTGAGGGAGCGCGAGCGGCGCGGGGGGGGCCCTGTCGGCGACAGCGGCGACAGCGACGACAGCGGCGGCGACAGCGACAGCGGCGGGTTCCAGCGCCTCGCGGCCCGGCGTTTCCCCGCTCCCCTCGGCGCCGGGTGGCCCCGGCCCGCGGCGGCGGCGCTGACAGCCCGCCCGGAGCCCCGGGGGCGGCCGCGGCCACCATGTCGTCCCCCAGCCCGGGCAAGAGGCGGATGGACACCGACGTGGTCAAGCTGTATCCTTGCCGTGCCCCCTCCCCGGGCCCGCGGGGGATTCCTGCCCCCCACCGCCACGGCCGGGCCTGCAGAGGGGTGGGAGGGCGGGGGGCACCGGGGGCCCCCGCCGGGGTCGCCCCCCAAACCCCCCCATTCGCAGCCCCGCGGCCTCTCCCCGGAGCTGGGGGTCGGGTCTGCCCTCCCCCTCTCACCAGGGGAGGCCTAACCCCCCCTTCCGCCGTATTTTGGGGGGTTTAGCCCCCTGTGTGGCTCGACAGGCGGCCCTGGGGGTGTCTCTGCAGACCCCCCTCGGTGATGCCCCCCCAATCTGGGTGCCCCGCACCCCCCCTTGCCTGCCCTGGGGAGGGCGAGGAAGGGGAGAGCAGTTCCAGCAGCCACAGCCCAAAGAAAGGCTTTTGTGGGGTTTATTATTATTATTTATTTCCCCCATTTCACCCTGCAGTTCATGAAGCTTCTGGTGCTGGCTTAGGGATTTGATTTTTTGGGGAGGACGGGGGGGGGGTCCCTCGGGGTCTGGCTCAGCAGACCCAGGGGTGGGTGAAGGGCATCAGGGCCCGAGCCCGTCTCCCAAGAGGTTTATGTAACCCTCCAGGTTCGGTTAGGCTTTATTACTTTTTATTTTTCCCCTTCTTCCTACATAGATCTGTTTATATTTTTCCTCCTTGTTTTTATTCCTGGCCCTTTACGGGGCGGCGAATCCCTTTTTCTCTCTGTCTGGAGAGTGGGTGGCGTTGAAAAACACCCTTGGGAATTCGGTTCTGGGATTGTTTTATTAATAGTTTTTGTTTACAAGGAAAGGGTAGCAATGACAAGAGTGGATGAAATGTTTCTCGGATCTGTCTCCTGAACGTGCCCGACCTCCCTGAGCAGGACTCGGGGCTGCTGGCTCTGCCCCGCTGCTGTCGAGGGGGTCGAGAAACGGGTCTGATTTAGTTCCCAGAGAGAGATAAACAAACTTATCTGGATTTGGTGGTGTTTTTTTGGAAAGGGGTGGGGGAGGGAGGAGCAGCAGCAGCGGCGCTCCTGTTTGTGGCTTATCGAAGGAAACTTGTCTGACGTTCGCGCAGCGCCTTTCTCCCCACAAAGCTGCTCTCGGTGTGTTTTTCGCCCTGTTTTTAAGCAAATAGGAAATGAGTCCTGATGGTGCTCGAATCGGAGCTATTTTTATCCGGGGGTTTAAAGTTACACACATGTCAGACTCCGCCAATTGCGATCGATGCTGAATCGCACCGGGAGGAGGGTCGGGAATTCCAGCTGTTCAGCCAGGGGGGAAAACCTTTCTTAGGGATACCCTGGAAAGAGCTCTGGGCCGGAGAGGGGCCGAGGCCCAACTGATCGGCTGCTGCTCTGTTTCCCTTTCCCCTCCCCCTCTCTTTTCCTTTTTTTTTTCCCCTTTTTTGTTCGGTTCCTTGCCGGCTTCTCCAGCGATCGCAGCATTTTGGAGGACAAAGAGCAGGTTTTCCTGCGAAGTGTGCTTTTGCTGTGTGTTTCTAGGAGCTGGGTAGGTAGAAAGCCCCGAATGGCTGGGATTCCTCTCGGTGCTGAGCAGTTTGTGCCCTGCCCTTTCTGCCCCCTGACAAAGGAACCCCGATGGCTTTTCCAAACGCAAAGCTCTCGTTGTCGGCTCTGCTTTCCTTGTTTTCCATGGGGTGAGGGTTAGAGCAGTCGGTCTCCTGCGGACAACAAACTTAGGAAGTTGGATGTGTCAGATGACTCCTCAGCACTCCTCCCTCCCTCCCTCGCTCCCTCCCTCCCCAGCCTTTTTTGTTTGTCTGCCTGACTCGCCCGGGGTGAGCAGCTCACTAGGCCCCGGCTCCCGAGACGCTTCCCTGGGGAATCTCCCCCTCTGGAAGCTGATCTGAAATCAGGGTCTCCTTTGAGACGCATCGAGGTGGTGGCCAGAGAAGGGACTGGTCTGAAGGAATGTGCTCGAGGGCATCTCCTCCTGGGGCTTTCAGGGTTTTGTTGCCGTGGATGGTTTTTGTTTGGGGTTTTTTTTTTTACCCTCCCTTTTTGCTGCCATTTTCATTACAGTTTCCCTTTTCATCCCCTTTCCACGTCTCCAACAGTGAATAATAGTGTGAATTTATGGCCTGCCAAGGGCTACCTTTCCCAGTGGGGAGGGGGCACGGAGCAGGGTGAATAACACTCCTGCCTCCTCCTGCTCTGACAGGTTTAGGAGCCGAGAGAGGTCTTTTTACGATCCCTATTTTCAATCCTGCCACGTCCGTGTCCTTTTGTGGATGCCTCTTTGTGAGGAGGGAAGGGGGAGAGGTGGCTGCTCTCCGTGGGGCTGCAGGAAGGGCAGAGCTCTGTGTGGAACCGATGTTTAATCATCTCCTGGACCAGGATGTGCTCGAACTCCCCGTCACTCATTGTCTCCCTCCAGACCGGGTTCGTGGTGCTGAGGCTGGGCAAAGAGAGCCAGAATCCCTGCTCCCCTTTTTGGGGGGCTCCAGCCAGAGTTTCCTGGGTAACCCCTTCAGAGCAGGGGTTTTGCAGGAAGGCTCGTGCTCCCCAAAACACCTCCTGACCCGCTCACCGGTGGCTTGGAAGCGTAGTGTTCTCTCACTGGGAAGCCCCTGGGCTCCAGGCCAGGCCTCTCCAGGTAGCTCCCACCCTGGGGACAGCAGAACAGGGTCTCCCCTTTCTCCCCTTTGTGGTTCCCCCTACGTTTGGGGCGAGTGCCAGCCTGGGAGCCGTGTTTGCAGGGAAAAGGCCTCGAGCTCTCGCAACTCCGCGGATTGGCTGCTCTGTTACTACCCGGAAACCGGGCCCGGGGCGGAGCGAGGCTGCAGCTGAAGGGGTGCCCCTGCCAGGGTGTTCACACCCATGGGGGGGACCCACCCCGGCACCCCCGTCCCCCCCAAACCCCGCGGGGTGTTCCCGTTCCAGCCCCGGGGTTTATTGTTCCGCGGCGCTGGCGGCTTCCCCTTGGCCGGGAGTTTATTTAGTGCTGATTTATTTTCCTCCTTTTGTGGAGAAACTGGCCGGCTTGTAGTCCCCGAGCTCTATTTTTAAGCGTCAGAGCTGGAAAAGGGAAGTGTCACCCTGTTTTGTGCCTGAAAGGAATTAGAAATAGTGGCCAGCTTTGTTTGAATGTCCCTGTGCTGCCCAGCTTGCAGAGCCGGGGCTTTGGGAGCGTAACTCGCGGAGCGTTGCGCTCCCTGCTAATTTTAGGCTCGTCCCGAGTCAAGGAGAATAAAGGTACAAAGCTCCTTAGTTTACCTGCGGAGCGTTTTGTAATCTCCAAACTCCCCCCCACCCGTGTTTGCTCCGTGGAGGCAAAGGGTAGCACAGAGTTTACATTTGGGATAAATTCCTTTTTCTGGTCATTATAGGCTTCCACCGCACTTATCATGCCACTTGAACACCTTCCAAGAGCGGCGTTGAGCAATCGCGGGGTCACGTGCCTTTGTTCTCTTTGGCCTGTCCCCAGGGAAGAGCGTGTGCACTGGAATGTCTTGTTTTGGTAGGCTTTGGTGGGGCTTTGTTGTTCTGTTGGGGTTTTTTTTTTTTCTTCTAAAAGGACGGATATTTCTGGAAACTTTGAATGTAAATTTTCAAACGGCACGCCACGCTTGTTTCCGCTCCGCTTTCTGGGGCTCTGTTTTAATGAGGTCTCTGGGGATGAGGGGAATGGTGTGGTGATGCTTCAAAATGCACAAAGACGTGGCAGCAGCCCCTTCCCAGAACTGGGGGAGCCCCCCTTTTTCCCAGCAGTGCTGTCACAGGTGGTGGTTTATAAATCAAATCAGGTAAATGTGGCTTGGGAGGTGGTGCCTGTCTTCAGGAGAACTCGAAATCCATAAATCCCTGCCTAAACCAAACCAACTGGAGGAAAATAAATAATCTTTGTTGCCTAAATGACAACTTCCAAGGGTATCATCTTGCTGCTTTTAGAGCAGAATTTGGAGTCTTTGCTGGTGGCTGGATGTTTTTTTTTTCCCTGAGAAATTGGCTGGAGCTGCCAGTTCACTCTCCCTTTGTTGCTTTGTCAGTTGGATTGGGGAGGATTTGGGAGCTGGGGCTCCTCGAGCAGGCCTGAAAGCCAAGTGCACTTGTTTAATCATGGAATTGCCACAACCATGGAGTTCAAACTGGGAAATATGGATTTGGTTAGGGCTGCTTGGAGCAGAGTGCCTGTTGGAGCCTGACATCCCAGCCCTGCTTAAAATAATAAAAAATGGGGGTAGTTTTAATTATTTCCCCTTCTCATTCCCTAGACTCAGAGCAGAGTTTTTGGAATACTGTGTAGTCTGGCTGGAGGATGCTTCCCAGATTCCCACTTCAGAAGTGGCATTAGGGCACTAAATGCTGATGAAACAAATTCTAGAGGCCTTTTCTTTGTTGTAACAGTTTAAAAAACCCCAAAAGTGAACACGGGATTTCAGGAAAACAAACATTCCCTGTAAAATGGTCTCCTTGCTCTCCCCTGGGTCCAGGAGGTTGTGCCAGCTGCTTTTCCTGGCTTTCCTAGGGAAGCTGTGCTTGGGTGTGTAGCAGGGGATTGTTTTTAGGTGGCACCACGACTATTTTGCAGTCCTGCTGAGTTTTTGGAAACATCTCCCGGCGTGACTCCCACGTGCTCTCATTTCTCAGCAGCAGGAGCTGAGCTCCCAGTCCTGCAGACCCTGCCAGGTCCCAATATTTTGGATGAAGCAGGAGATGCCCCTCCACGAGGCCCTGCATTGTTTCATTTGCCAGGGGAAAATTACATTTCATCTTCACAGGAGTGTTCTGTCCTGGTTCTGCTCATCGTCGTGTGCTGGCATTAAATGATGATTGGCTTTTTTTAATGTTTTGGGGGTTTTTAAATTAATTTCTCCTTCAAACTCACTCTTAATTCCTATCCTGCCCTGTTCCTGAGGAGCAGACAGCCTGGAAGCTGAGGGAGTAAATCCTGGAGTGCCTCCTTGGGAGCTCTCAGCTGGATCACTGCAGGAGATCATTCCTTGGAGGCTCCAGCTTTGCTGCCTCCCTGGGAATGCCACACAGG